AAAACAGGTGTTTTTTTTCCCCCCTAAGGGGGCCCCGGGAAAACTCCCCCATGGGAAAAAAAAAAAAAAAAAAAAAAAATGAATCCACCATTTTAAAGGAAACAAACACTAAACACACTTTCCTAAAGGCTTGGACCATAACACTTTTTTGGTAATGGCAGCTATAAAATGCTTCCTGTATGTGTGAACTAATCATGCTTTATTTAGGAGTGACTTTGACCTTTGACCTTCTACATAAAATTCTTCAAATCATGAATGTCCTTTTGCCTTTTCTGTAGATTAGAGTTGCATGTAAGTTATGTACATTTTCCACTGAATTCAAGTAAAGGCTTGACAATATTAACAAATCTTGCTATGATATTGTAGAACACTTGCGGTAAACCCTAATTTCTTCACTCCCTTTTTCATCTGTTGTGCTGCTTTCAACACTGACTACTGTCATCTACATCCTGAATATAACTGCATAAAAATACAAAATCGTGATATTTAAGAATAATGAACAAATTGCTAATCTATTGTGCAGCTCTAACACAAGCTAGGTAATAGAAGACTATCCTGGCAGCTTTATTTGATTTCAGAAGCTAGTTGATTATTTTCTTGTTGAAAAATCTACTCACATTTTATTTTCAGATTCATATCAAGTAAGTGTATTTATCTGTTCACGCCAGAGCCACATCCTGAAAAACAAACCAGACTTTTCTTCATCAGTGGAGTCTTGCGCAGTGAGTGTATAGAGATGCTGTTTTTGTTGAGCTCATTGCTTATCGTTTTCTTGTTGATTCCAGGCCTTTCAAAAACTTTGCGTGGTCCTTGCCTTTTTGTATTCAACCCTATTTGATTATACTTTTCACTTTGTAGGAGAACTTGTGAAGACCCTCTGGTCATAAATTAGGTCCTTTCCACTGCCAGATTGTAACTCCAACAGACCTCACTGGAGTTTAGAAATATCTCTGGAACCAAAGCCTTCAGTATAATTTGTAACAAGATTTCAAACATTCTTAGTATTCTTCTTTTTTAACTATTACTTTCATGATCTTCATCTTCTTTTGGTTAAAGCTGGCAGATAAGATACATTTTTATGGATTATAAATTGGAAATAAATCAGATATTAATATATTAACTCAGAAAAAGAATTGATGCCAGATTTCAGTTGCTAAATATGTTTTGCCTTTTTGCACCTTGGTTTACTACTTCCATGTGTCATCCCACTACATTATGCACAATTTATGGACTATTTTGTTTTAGCTTCCTTATATGTGTGAATTACTTGGGTTATTCCCAACATCTGGTGTGAATTTAATGTCAATAGGCCAATTAGAAATGGATTTTCTGTGGAAAAACTTAATCTTAACAGCTATTTTCTCTGCTGTGCAACAACAAAGGATATTGCCTGGTTAATTTGACTAAAAATACTGTTAAAAAAAAAAACGGTGAGATGCGCACAGAAATACTTGACTGTATTTCTTAGAGACAGAGAGGTAATAATGTTTTATTGGGTTCGCTAACTTACTACCAGGTGCAGAATTTATGCAAGGTGAACCGCATTGAAGACGTCATCTGTACACCGTCTCTTTCCTCTTCTGAATCAGAAGACTGGAGTTGATAACATGAGTCGGTAGAAAGAAAAGCTCACGTTTTCTGTGCAAGACCAAAAATGGGTTGTCATTTTCATGGCACTTGTGGTAACCGTCATTTTTCTTCCCAACCAGAAGTAATTTTCACCCTAGGTAAGACGTAGGGCTTCATGAACATGCTACATCACACACAAAGCGACACCACATTTAACTCACAATTAATTCCAACTTGTTTCTTCCTTTAGACTCCTGACAAGTTCTTCGTATCCTCCACAGGATCCCATTTTAACCGGCAGCAGCAGCAACAGCAGCAGCACAGCCATGCTACCTCTTGCCGGCACTTCCAGTTAGGTCCTCAGGCCCCGCTGCCCATGGACTTCCCAATGCCCCATCCAGGGCAGCCGCAGTCAGGCATGAACCCCCACCTGGCCCCTCCTGGCCACCAGCACGGTCCTCCGCTCCACCCACCTCTCAACCCTCTGCCCGCTCCGCAATTCCAGGACATCCCCGGCCCGCCCTTCCTACCTCAGGCATTACACCAGCAATACCTCCTCCAGCAGCAGATCCTCGAGGCTCAGCACCGACACATTCTGCCGCCATCCAGGTATCTACAGAAAGAATTTGGTGCTTAATAAAAAAAAAAACCAAACAAAAAAAAACAATGGTGGTTGAACCGGTTGGGACCTACTAAGCAAAATTCACATTTTGCATGTTTTTATTCTTCGAGAACAACAGAATGTTTCCTCGACAACAACAAAAGTGCTTAAAAAAAACACCCAGCTGTTTTTTGGGAAGAAGTTAATGTTTTTTGGTGTGTGGAAAATAAGCCATTTGAAAAACCTCCTGATTGTCAAGGCACCATGCCCTTGCCTAACAATCCAAGCTGAACTCCAGCACTTTTACTTACACTGTATGCACTGTACAATGGCTGCTGGACAAGACAAGTGTTTTGCTGTTGACTTACTATACAGAAACTACTTGCTGCATTCTTGTTGGTTGAGCAGGAGGCTCCACTTCTGCTTTTCAAAGATATGCTGCTGTGAAGCTGCACATCTGTTTGCAGTTATTTTCAGGTGTGAATGTAAAAGTTGAGATGGAGGGGCGTGGGTTTGACAAGAAACAAACCCAATACATCTCATTCTGAAAGGAGATCAAAATAGACTGAACTGACCAGACATCTCATTTTCTAAGAATTATTTTGTGCAAAAAAATGAAATGAACATGTTTTGTATAGTCCATAGACATCAAGGTCACATTTTATGGAGAATAAGATTCAAATGCTTGGCTTCTTTCCTGCAGTAGACGCACCCCAGAGAGAGTCCCTCACCAGCCACACAGACTGCGACCAGGCTATGAGTTTGGTCCTCCTCTTCATGTCCCTCCTCAGCCGGTGGTGCAGCAGCCTCGCTACCTGGCTGAGGGGACCGACTGGTGAGCAGCGCATTTTAATATTTGGCTTAAAGCGGTAGTCTTAAACTGCTTTACTGGAGGGCCAGAGTCCTGCAATGTTTAGATGTCTGCCTGGATAAAAATGTGTAAAAATCCTGAAAAATAAATGGTTGCTATGGAGAAGTCCACAGATTGTTCAAACTATAAATATTTAGGTGAGGAGCTATTGACTTTTTAAAGATATTCCTTATGAAGCTCGATAGACATCTGCCCTACTTGAAGTATATGTTCTCTTTTCTATTTTAAAGAGTACATAATAGATTTTCATATATAATATTTATACCCCTCGCATTCAGGAAGCCATACTTATTTAAACTAATTTAATTACTAATTAAACATTCCTAGAGATTCTTTCCAACTAAAAACAGCATAAATTTAAAAAACAATTTATTTTACAGGAATTTTAAGGAATTGTTTTGTCAGTAATTGAGTTTCTCCCACATTGACAAACATATTCAAATTAAAGTTTGGATTTTTCTAACTTTTGTAATTTCAGATTAAACTACTACAAAAAAGCTTTAATTTATTTCCTTATTATATTTCTGCCATCCCTATGTTAGGTTTTGCTTCTTTCAGCCATCTTTTCTTTTTCTTCTGACTGGAGCTGCACAGTACTGTAACTGTCAAACGCAACTGTTTTAATTTCTTATACCTTTTATTATAATTGGGACGTAGTTTTACTTTCTTTTACATTTACTATTTGTGTTGATCGCAATTTTTGACAGAATTTGTGTAGTTAAGTCATTTCAACCTTTGTCTGTTTTTATCAGTACAAATTATTCATTGTCCAGATGAAAAATAGCCTTTTAGCTAATTCTGGTGCATTTACCGAAATGTTAATACTGATCTATTTAATTTATCCCTACCAAATAAATTTCACAAATGTCAAATTTCACTGCATCAGCAAGTGTAATATTAGGATTACCTGGAAGCAATATTTGGTTGGCTACAACATTTTAGGTGAGATGTGTTCAATCTCTACCAGCAGCCAGCCATACATTTAGTGAATAAATGGACTTTTATGACCCTAATGATGTACTGTAGATCTTAGTGACTATTATGCTACCCTTATACTGCTCTCTACCCTTGTAAAAAAGGTAATTAATTTTTTTATGGCTTAGTAATAAAAGACAAACCACATTGAAAGAGGAGCAAACATCTTGATGACAGAACAAAAAGTCAGAAGTGAACAAAATGTAACCTAATTGTTACTCGCTCTAATTAAAAGGTTTTCCATTTTGAATTTTTTTTTAATCGTCTACTATTTCAATCAAAATCTGTTTTAATAAATTTTAATTTGACATATTCTAACGACTAACTATATCACAGTCTTTAATCACAAGTTATTGAAACCTATAAAGTGCAGAGTGAGCTGCTGGTAAATGACTTTGCCTTTTCTTCAGGGATCTCAGTGTGGACGCCGGGCTGCCCCCTCACCAGTACCACATCCACCCGCTGCCGCAGCACTATCAGCACTACTTGACCTCCCCCAGGATGCACCACTTCCCCAGAAACAATGCCTCAACACAAGTGGTGAGAGCCCCTCCCTCCCCCCCACCCTAGTCTCTCCGCAATAAATCACCTCCGTCTCTGTGAACTTTCACTGATTCTCATTTCGCTTTCTGAGCTGAAGCTCAGCAGCCGGGGAGGACCAGCGTCAGATTTCTGCTGTGGAGCTGATCCAACTTCTTTCATCTGTCACTTTTTAGGTCGTCCATGAGATCAGAAACTACCCGTATCCCCAGTTGCACTTGCTGGCTCTGCAGAGTCTCAACCCTTCCCGGCACGCCTCTGCCGTCAGAGAGAGCTATGAGGTCTGTGCAGCTTCTCTCTCTCTCTTTCTCTCTCTCTGCCTCAGACACACAGGGCTCCAGTAATTAATCACTGTTTTCTCTGTAACCAATGGTCTGGGAAGGCTTCAGTTTGTAACAGATTTTTTTAATTATTATTTTCAATCAATCTGTTTGTTTTTTAGACCAGAGGAAAAAAAAACCTTCATTTTAATTTTGGGCCATATCACAATCACGGATGTTGTCAAAGGGCCAGTTGTGCCAGAATGCATTGATAACAAATTGATAAAATATTAATAAAAAGCTGTCTCTGCAAGTAACTTTTGCATTCAGTAACTTAGAATTCAATAATGGACATCTTTTCACACTGTGAGTGTTTTTGTGATTTTTTTTTTTGCAATTAAAGTCACTGATTTTGTGGAGCTAATTTAGAAATATTTGCAAGAAATTTTGCAGTATTTGCACTTATGTATGACAGTAAATGTGAATTTTTTTACTTGCTATATTGATCATGGGACTTGACATAAATTAAGCAATGTAGCAGAAGAAAAAAGACTACCACCTGCAGGCTGGAGTTAGCATCACTTAAACCAAATTTTTTTGACCATATTTTGGGGAAATTTGCAATAAACTCATAACCACGCATTTGTGCGAAAACCCACGGGGATCTGTTGATTTTACGTGAATTCCTGTTTTTGAGGAATTGCAAAAAAACTAGACGGGCAGATTTATGTAATTTGGCAGTAAACAGATATAAATTGATTTGATTTGATTGGTAAAATCAAATCAAGTGTTATTGTGAAGGTTCTATTTATGTGTCCCTCTGCAGTCAAGAGGGCCACATAAACTGCTATGCTGGGCCAGATTTGGCCCATGGGCCTTGAGTTTGGCACACATGCTTTAAACGGTACAGAATACTTTAATCTCATAGCATTCACATTCACTTGACAACAGTTTTCTTGTGGCCTCCTTTGCATTCAAAATATTTTGCTATTGTCTTCCTCATTTTGTTAGATAATAATTTGCTTTTGAATGTTTCTTCATAGGAGCTTCTGCAGCTGGAGGACAGACTGGGCAGCGTGAATCGCGGAGCCGTCCAAACCACCATCGAGAGATTCACTTTCCCCCACAAGTACAAAAAGGTACGACTGGAGGCCCTTTGCAACCTTTTTGATGGTTACCCACAAAGAACTGGGCCAGAAACACGCAGAGCGAGACATGAAAGAAGGGAACAACAGAGAAAGGCAGCGCTGCCAGTCGGATGGATCAGAGAGCGAAGAAGAGGGTAGCGAGAAAAGGTCACGACTCTTACCGTAGTTCAAAGGTCAGCCCAATTTCTGTTTGAGATTTAATGAGCCGGAGCTGCAGCGTTCATAATTTAAGGCGAGGGGGGATGAGTCATCCGGCTGTCTGCAGATATGAGCGTGGAGTGAATGTAAAGAAACGTCTGCACTCAATCTGACCCAGTTGCTGTGGGAAAAGTGTCAGAATATTAGTTTTTTTCTTCTTCTTCTTCTCAAGGAGCTGTGATAAGGTGACTCTTTTTAGAAAACATATCCAACCCTGGCTGACTCAGACACCCCTGTGGCATCAACACTGCGTCCGTTTAAAAATTAAAGCGTGTTTGCGTGCGCTCCGCTCTCCTCTGCAGAGAATACCGCAGGACCTGAAGATGTGTCTGGATGACGAGGAGCTGGACACAGATGAGAAGTGCACCATTTGTCTGTCGATGCTGGAAGACGGAGAGGATGTAAGGTACAGGAAAACGCTGTTTTTTTTATTTTAAAAGAGGGATGATTGGTTTCTACTCATGTGGAATCATCCATCAGTCTGTCCATCAACTCTGCTTTTTTGCAGCTTTCGTTCTAAAAACTGGACCGCTGTTTTCTTTGTGTGTTTATAATTTAAAAATGTACAAACACAGCAGATAACCTTGCAAATTAGTGCCAGGAGAAATGTGGAATTATGATATAAAACATCTTTAGAAGCCCTTTAAAAACCTCATTATGCTCTGATGTTCTAGTTTAGTGCAGACTGACATAAGTCTGTCACAATAAGAAATTAATCAAATGAAAAATTAAAGTAAAATTGATCCTTTCCTTTTTGATTATCTGTATTTTTTGATTGGCAATTTTGTTTTCAGAGACTTCATAATCTCTTTTATTTGTGGTTTCACCTGAGCGTGTTTTTTAAATTTTTATTTCTGTTTTATTATTTTGTTTTATTTTGGATAATTAAAATAGCTTCCAGCTGCACAAAATGGTCTCAAAACAACAATATTGTTGCTCATCCCTAGTACAGCAAGTAATTTTTCAAAGGGACAAGGCTTCACTTCTGTGATAAATGTTTGCCAAGCTTGTTGTCTGTTTATTAATATTAAAATCTCTTTGTTTGTCACCAGGTGAAAGTTTTTTTTGGGACATTTCCCACTTTAATATTTTCATTTTGGGTCTAACATCATGCCATTTACAGAGAGGTGAGAAAGACTGTAGTTTACAGACCTTATTTATATTCACACTGGATACAGCTGTCACATGGTCTAAGCAGTTTTTAAGCCTAAATTGGTTCTGCCATCCAACTTCAAAGCATCAGGTATTAAAATCCCATCACAGGATTTTTTTCTCCCTTTTTTATGGCATCATGTCTTGAAAACGCTGCCCGCAGGAAACATACTGTAAGCATTTACACATAACGTGTGTCCAGAGGGAAAGTGACACTGCAGCTTTTTGAAAGACAAAAAAGTCGAGACTTAACAACAGATAACACGACAAGTTTTCCTGAATAAAACTGTATTTGGTTGCATTTCAAAGAAGATGGGTTTATTTTTGACCTGACTCCAGACATGGCGTCCCAAACCCTCTAAATATTGAACTTCTATGCTCATATTTCAGTGGCTTTTATAGGTTTGTCAGTGTTTCTCTTTATTTACAACCAAAATTGCCCTGAATCTTGGACCTTTTTATCCTAAATAACTTTTCTAAACATTAACATTTTCTAAATTAAGTTTGAAACAAGATGATTTATTTTAAACCTTTCTTATGAAAACCTGAAAAAAAGATGTTCCAGACTATAAAATATTTCCTTAAAACCACTTTGAAAATTTGTACAAAGTTAAGCATCGCGATTAATCAGATTAAAACTGTTTTAATCGACAGACACAGAACCAGTTCTGACCCCGTGTTTTTGCTTCCTTTAGGAGATTACCCTGCATGCACCTTTTCCACCAGGCCTGTGTGGACCAGTGGCTGGCCACCAGCAGGAAATGCCCCATCTGCAGAGTGGACATCGAGACCCAGCTGACTCCTGACAGTTGATGGCTCCTCTTGACTCCTGCAGCTTTAGATGTGGTCTTGTTATTTCTCCATCGTCTCCCCCGGTCGGTCCTTGGGGAAGTCCTGCCAAACACCCCTCTTTCCCTCTGCATCACTCAAAGAGCCTGCCTTCTGAGACAGCCGTGACAGAGGGATCAACAAAGCACACTCAACGTACAACACAAAGAGAGACGGGGCGGTTGATGCACAGACAGGTGGCTGGACTGAATCGAAGGTCAGTTCAAAAAGGACTTTGCTGGATGTAAAGGTTAGGAGCAGAGACACGTATGGACAGATGTGCTGAGGCTTCACACAACTCTGTCAGATCGTGTACTCCCACTTACATTTCTCCATGCAGCTGCCAAGAGAGAGGACGCTCTTGACTGCCAACCTCCCGAGCTCAGTGTGGTGTTTTAGGGCCATTTCTCTGCCAGTATATCCAAGCCCTCTCTGCCCTCTCCCTTCTAGGCCTGTGAAAAATCCTTTAAGCCGTACTCTGCCCAAGCCCTCACTCAGCACATCTGTACAGAACATTGTCAAATGATTAGCATGAGGTTGTTAGGTGTGAACTCTTGTAGCTGAACGCTTGTGGTGTAATGGAGTATAGTACTGAATAAGTATTTACAGAGTAACAGTGTTGTGTAGCAAGCAAAAAGCCTTCTGGAGAAACATGTCTGTTAAAAAAAAAAGAAATCCCACAGAGAGGATGAATGCGGCTCTATTGAGTATTCAGCAACGAGAGAAAGAGCTAATTAAAAGAAAAACAAACAAAAAAGGCCAAAAATCCCTCTTTCTTGTCTAACATGGTTTTGGATTTACAGTTAGTAGACGCCATCAGAGTTGATGCTGAACCCGCTGACTGCAGGCATGGCTTTCAGTGATGTGCGTAGTGTCGTAGCGGGGCCTCTGCAACCCAGAGCGGAGGCCTCGGATGTGCATGCTGTATGGCAGGCTTGGGCTGTGTCGTTAATATTGTGGAGCAAGTAGAAGCAGGAACTGTGTCTGTGCATGTGAACCGTATATTATGATCATTCATAGAGGAGGACAAGAATGCACCCAGTAGCCCCCCACCCATCCCTCACCCTGAGTAGACCACGCTTGCCTTTAGACGCCGATCTCACACCAGTGTGGCATTTCTCTCCTAATCACCATGTTTAGGATTCAAAGATCTGCGGGTGGATCTGGGTCTAATGGCAATTCCCTCCATAGCCTCTCTCGTGACAAGGCATGGGCCGGTATGAGATTCTCCCGGTTTGATAACAGCAAGGAAAAATGCCACGGTTTCTGGGTTAAAAAAAAAAAAAAAAGAAGAAAAAAAGTTGCTCCAACATAATTTAATTGTTTTTATTTCATGAGCATAAATGCAATTACTATTTCCACTGCTGCTAAGATATAATCTCATACCCCTATAGTGTTATTGTAATAACTAATAATATTGTTTATGAAATTTAGCTATTGCGATGCACATATGTAGACACAGACAGTAAGCACACACTCGTGTGTGAACGTTTACCGTCTTTAAAATCAGTGTCAGCTATTTGCACTAATTTTTAATCAGTATCAGCTGTACATAAGTTGTGATCATGGTTTGAATCCTGAAAAAGTCAAAAATGTTCAGATTAAATTTAAAGTCAGCCATTAAAAAAGATAAGTGAAGGCATAACTAAACAGTACAGGTGTAATGATACAATCAGCAACATTTGGTTCACCAGAATGAGAGAAATTTTACCAATATTTTCTGTTTTCACTGGTCATAAAGTGTTTAAAATAATTTAAAACCAGTGTAATATATTACATTCGATTTGACTAGTCCATATATTGCGGTTTCTGGCAGCGATAGGAAGTACTTACTGCTTGTATCTCACGTCAGTTTCTTTTCTTTTTTTTTTTGTTGTTATTTTTACCAAGTATCCAAAATACAGATTAAATTAGTGAATCATAAAATGAGATGACAATATTTTTTTGAAAACTAAGTAAACAATCCCAAATTACAAACTTTGGTTTAGAGAATCTGAATTCATTGACTCGTCCATTTATTTAGATTTTTCTGCTGGTTCTGGTGTGGAAAAAATTTAAGTAAATACATATATATATATATATATATATATATATATATATATATATATATATATATATTTAAATTAAAACAGGTCAATTAACCCTTTTAAAGCACATTGGCGCTGAAGTGCGTTGAGAAATATTAAGTTACTGAACTCCAATAAAACTAACCTTTGATGCTTGCAAATCCCAAGAAACAGTAGAATGACTTGGCATGCTACATTTGCATTTGGAAGTATTTCTTCACTTCTTCCATGGTAGGATCAATAAATATGTGTGTTTGCTCAGTGAGACTGAACCATTTACCAGAACAATTGCACTAATTAATGTACATGATGTAGCACAGCTGCTTATCTATTGAGAAATGGTTGTTTACAAGGAAATTTTATTTCTTTTTACAGTTTCATTATTGTTCCAACGAATATAACAAAATACAGTTTTAATGCCATACTTCCTATTCCTATTGACACAGTTGGTTTGATTGACTTTTCCAACAGACATGCTAATTCTTCCGTAAAGTTTCACCACTCAGGGTATTTGTGGCAAGTTTAGCTTTGACCTGGTAAAACGGATTTAATTTCTTTTTGAAAAAGATGAAATAAAAAGGAACATAAAAGCTGCTTAAAACATTTTTACCACCTGTGAGCAATTCTACATTATCTGTGTTAGGATTAGGGGTGATGTCACACAGTGTGTGACAGAAAACATGGTTTTGCTCATAATTTAAAACAAAAATGAAATTATTGCATTATTAAATCTGAATTATTACATTTTAAAATGGTTCTAGTAATATTAGCGATTAGCATGTTTAGTGTGGTTTACTGTACTAAAAACCACAGTATGTGTGTGTATTCCCTACAATACGGATCCTTAATTTGACCTTTGACTTTTCCAGAATATCTAGCAACAACAGGGCAACTTTCCTATACTCTGTTTACCCTTCCTGTGATCTGCTTAAAGTCTTGCTCTCTCTCGCTCTCTCACAGCCTGAATGAACCACAGGCAAGCCTCAAAATGTCAGAGAAAATACAGTATCTATACAATATGACTGCATAGATACTGTAGTACAAGACAATCGCTTTTTTTAATCACTGCTTCCTTGACATCATTTCACTGAAGTACACCTCTCTGATTATAGAAAGTAGATAGCTTTCTGACTTAGAAGTTACACCAAATAAGGTTGATTTGTCACGTCTGGGGTTTTCACCAATTGGCAAAATTAAGATTTTTAAGTTTTTAGGTAAAAATAGTGAAATTATGATCAACAGCTGATCACTCGATGCATCTCTACACTTGTTTGCTGCTCCGTTCATAGACAAGCACTACTTTTCTTAACACTAGGAGACGTTTCAGAGAATTCCTACTCTATGCTCAAACATCACCATCACTGGCATTTTCAGTGCAATGGGTTCAATCCTCAGGTATGGTGTGATGGAAAATTTTAGTGGCATTTTCAAAAACCGTGCTGTACCACAAAACCAGAAACCGTCCCATGCCTGCTCATGTCTTGACGGCACTCACACGAGGCTGATGATGCAGTGCCTGAGTCTCGCCATTCGAGTGACATTTCTATTTCTTATTACCAGAACCTTATTGCCTATCAGACAAGCACATGTGATTACTATATAGAAGTAAATCGCCTCTGTTGTGTATCAGCTCCTTGCATTTCAATCGTAGTTGCTCTGGCTGTTTGAAAACTTATAAAGACAAGACTGTGTGGTGGTGTTACAGGGAATATCCGAACTAGTCTGCCTGTGAAATGTGCTAGAATGTGTACGATTGTCCCCCACCCACTCTCCCTCATGGTGCTTGTGTATGGTATTGCTAGAACTGTGATATGTTCAGTGATAGAAGCTGTTTCTCTGTATCATGCATGAACCATGTTGGCATACTTCACTTGAAGGAGGGTGAAAGGGAGAAAAAAGCCATCCATTTGAAAAATACCAAACAACTGTTCTTAGCATTAATTTTATTTCAATTGTCTTTTTCTTCCATTTCTTTTTTTTTTCATTTAATTGTATGTTTTATTTGTTTTTTTCTTTGCTCACCTGCCAATCGGGACATGGTACTAATACGCCAAAACCTTGTCCATTTTAACCATCGTGAAAAAGAAGCTGCAATGCTGCAAAAAAACATATTTATTGTCGTTCTAATGTAGCTTGTGTTTTGTAAATGCACTATAATATGGCGTTGCCTGATATTTTGGTTTGGTGGTGTGGGTACTTCTCGTCCGAGGTTTTGTGTTTTCTTTCAGTTCCAAGTATTTTCATGCTTCCTTGTGTACTATTGGAAGGTAACTTGACTGTTTGTGTTGCATTTTTATTTTATTTTATTTACATATGTAACCTCCATCCAAAAAAAAAAAAAAAAAGAAATTACAAATACATGAAAATGGAGGTTTTGCTAGTCCACATAGAATGCTGTGATTAAAGATGCCTTAAGTATTTAACAATCATTATTTATTACTAACTGTAGCTAGCTAGCTATTGTGGTGGAATATTTAATGTCTCTGTCTCATAACTTTGCAATTTAATCAATATATTTATTTAAAATAACACAAAATATATAAAAAAAATACCTCATTATGCATTGGTTGGTGGGGATGCTTGTGCATGCCGTCTGTGTTTTGTTTTTCAAAGGAAGAAAATTAGAAAAGGTGACTGAGGGACTAACCAGCATGGTGCTGTTGATCTAGATTACATTCCATTTATGTCATTTATTGATTTAATCGCTGAATGTTTAAACTTTCTATTTATTTTAATATCACTCCTGCTTCCATCTACCACAGGTGTCAGGGTGCAACCCTGTTTGTCTTATAGCTTGCTTTTGTTTTGCTCATAATAATCTGTGATATTTTACTAGATCCTTTAATGATCATATCCCTCATATCAACATGTCGCTTTAGTAATCATGATTTAGAAACCACATCAGTTGAATTATCTGTTGCTACATATTGCTAGGAGTTGCTTCGTGTGGGATTTATGGGACTTCTCTTACATGCTACCTTGAGCCATTGATCTTTTGAGCAAACTTCTGGTGTTACTGTGGTTTTACAATATAGATGTTTCACACCTTGGTATGATAAGCTAACTGCGTTTTTCGGTGTGCATTTCTTATTAATACTCTACTAATCCTGCAAATTATTCTAACATGTATTGGATTGGAATGAAGCTGACTGGTCTTACTATAATTTCATTTCGTGCTCTCACTGGCCTTACCCTGTGCCCTCCACCGCGTACCCCGGTAACTCCAGGCTGAACTGGACAGTAGCCATAGTATTAACTCAAGCTGATGAACCGGAATGAACAGTAGAACTCAAAGCACAAGCTTTTTAATGCATGTCCTTCTCAGGTTTTCCTATGTGTATGTGGGAGTAGCTCTGTAGACGTGTTTAATATGATGCTGTACCTTCTTGAATATTTCAGATGTTTCTTTGCTGCTGAGAAAAATGTTGATTTTTAACCTGCCAGTGAAAAAGGGAAGTGGCCATCTTTGTACAACACACTGCTGTTTTGCTGTAACCGCGCAATGTTTTATGATCTTGAGTATTTTATAGAAATGTAGAAGTATGTATCAATAATACGAAAGCAATAGCTAAATCTTAATGAAGAATAACATGATCAGTGAATATTGTGGAAAATCTTTAGATTCACTCTGGGTGGATTTTGTACTGTATTTATTACTAATGATGATGCAAAAAGTTGCATAGCTTAACCCAAACTGTTCTGTCTCTTTTTTATTTATTGTCTTGTATATGATCTTTTTGTATGTGTTTTTCAAATAAACTGCCTAAAATGCTGACAACTAATCAAACATGTGGTGTTTGTTATTTGTTTATTTTTTGGCTGTTCAGTTATTAAAAAAAAAAAAAAATCCACAGAAGCCCAAAATTAGAAGTAATATTTTAAATTTACCAACATGTTTCTTCTAACTATCAGATTTAAGTCGGGACTTTTATCTGATTGTGTCAATTTTTGACACAGCTTTTTTGTGAATTGTAAATCAAATCTTAAAAATAAAAAACACACATACAAAAAAAAAAAAAACATTGTTATTGTTATTAAAATTGCAGGGTTTCCCCCAAAAGCTTGCTAAGCCTGGTGCTCGTGGTGCTAAGGGAGTCATTCATCCAGCTGCCCGCCATGTTTTTGAGGTAAAACGTGTTTAACATTGACAGGAAATGTGAAAATATCACTTGATAGTTATGCGTTATTGGAAGACTGCAAGATTAATACCGAAACACCAACTACAAACTCTTTAAAAAAGGCAATCATTTAAAAAAAAAAAAAAAAACTAAAATAAATTAACAATACTAAGCCTGGTGGGGGCACAAGTAAATCCTGATGGACCCGCCAGGCTTATAATGCACAGAGGGAAAACCTGAGTTGAAATAGTTTTGTAACTATTAGGTGATTCAATTATTTTATTAGGGATTCCCCAAAAGTAAAGTGTACATATATAATGACATAATATTTCCTTAATTTGTCGCTGGATTTTAAGCTTTTGAGTTTCTAAGGAACGTCCATTGGGAACACTGTAAACTTTTAAGCTCATCTTGAGTCTGTGAATCGTACATTTGGCTCAGTTTAGGATGAGTTTAAAGAGCTTAAAGCGCAGAATCGGCCCCTACAGAACAAGTTAAGTTAAAATCAGAAACCTGACACTTCACTTTTGATAATATTTACAAAAAACAACTATTATTTCCCCCCTGTTTACAGTATTTCTCAGTTCGTGCTGGAGTGCGTATAATTCTGCTTCTGTGCAGCAACTTCAATGTGAAGACAAAAAAAGCAGATGACAGAAATAAAAGTATGAATTAAATGTTTTTTGTGTTTGTTTACTTTGATATTCATTTCTTTTTTATGGCTTTTCCTTAAGTTTGAAGCGATCAAGCCTCAACAATTGGCACAGAGTTACTTTGACCTTTTTCATAATAAACATCATGTAAAAAAATAGGAGTAAATGAGGTAAATAAAAAACGTACCCCTTGTTTTTACCTCCTAGTATCTTGGATAAAGCACTCTGTGTATCTGCCCATCAGCCTTGTTAGCATCCAGCCACTTTCCACACAGGAAGATGGTTGTGACTGAGTTAGCCGTGTTGGTTATCTCAACACACTCTAAAAACCACCCGCAGTTCGAGTTGTTCCCATCGTGCTCCACCTTGACCCTCAGCAGCTCCCCAAGGTCGAGCATCTCCACGACGAACCGGTCCGTCTGCCCTCGCTCGAAGAGGTTGCGGGACTTCTGCCTGAGCTGACGCCTGCCCGAGTCGCCGTTGACTCCGTAGATAGTGATGAAAACGTTTGCGTCCGTTCCAGCCCCTTTCACGTCCCCGGTGATGACGATGATTTCGTACTTGACGGGAACCAGTTTGCGAACTTTGCTCGCAAAGCTTTCAACGGATTTATAGCACTCAAATGTCTGGAACTGGTCCTTTTTGGCCGCCAGAAGGATTTGTGCGTCACAGTGAAAGAAATACCTGAACGAAAAGATTCAGAGTCATCAAAGGACCTTTTTTTTTTTCTTTTTACATAACCTAACATTATGTAAGTTGTGTGAGAATCCACTCACTTGTTTCCCATCTCCTTTTCTGTCACTACCACCTCCAAAACGTGCCAGAAGACTTCTTTCTTCACCTTCTTCCCATCTTTTGTTATGTGGCCGAGGCAGATCCCAGCGATTTCCCCCAAGTGTTTGGACGAGAACTCAAACGTGTCAGTGGCACCGCTGCGAAAGTTCACAGAAATCTGCAACTATTAGACGAGTTTGTGCACGGCGAGCAATTAGAAGAAAAATATCAATAAAGTGAGACGTTTTCTTTGTTGGCACTGAAATTATCTTTCCTGAGAAAAGAGACGCGAGAAGATAAAGGAGGGCAGAAAGAGAAAGTATGAACGAGGGAAGATTATGTAAGATCTCTGCAAATGCATTCATATTTCTTTAACATTTTCTATGTTATACGGAGATTTTATGTGATGAACCAGTAGAAAACAATGCATAAAAGAGAAAATTTCACAAATAAATATCTGAAAATTGTTTCCCCAAATACCCAAAATCTTAAATCCACTAATTCAGTGACTAATGAATTTAGTCCCGCAAGTTTCCAGTCTTTCTCAGCTGGCCAGCTTTCCTTTTTCTGGTAAAGAAAAGCAGCTCCACAGCATGATGCTGCTACCACCATGTCTTACAGTGGAGATGATGAGTTCAGAGTTTGTGAATCAGCCCAGAGTAACTTTTTAACTTCTGAAGCCAATTTGATTTATTTATGTATTTTTATAGGTGATACAAAATGCAAGCTAGAAAAATTATCAATATTTTTTTTGTTTCTTGAGCAGTTGATATTTATCAAGCTATGATTTCAAATTAAAAGTCCAAACAAAGCACAAGAATAAACTAACATGGCAAACCTTTAGAAAGGAAACACAAAAGAGAACCAAACCAAGATCGTCACAATAAGAGTGTTTTTAAAGTCTTGCCTTAAAAACTTCTTTTTCTTATTCTCCAGAACAAACTCCTTGGATCGAGCTTTCCTTCCCTCCAACACGATCCAGGCGTTTTCTGAGGTTGAGGCGTTGTCGGTGTTAGCAGTAATGGTGACGATTTCATATTCTGTGACGAAGCAGAAGCAATCATATAATCTCATGTGAATGTAATTACCTCCAAAAGATTTTAAGCTTTCAGCATCCATATGTTTTTATACTAACTGGTTTTATCGCTGAGGTCTATTGAGTCATTGTTGGCACAAGCCAGCTCCCTAATAATTTGCCCGTCGTCTTCATTTTTAGCCAGCCAGCGGTCGCAGGGGAACCTGAAGGTCTGGTCCATGGCCTCGTCTTTCACGTCGATGTACTCTAAATGCCACCCGGGTGCCGGGCCTGTTTACAGGAGAGGCGTTGAGATCCAAATTTTGATTCATTCAACAATATTTTTCTAAACAGTTTACAGGTCCAGAGTTGAATAGAAGGAATTGGTTTTGTTGCTATGCATAATAACGTAACTTTGCACCATGAGTATTACACCCTGCAGGCTTCCTCTTCTCACCTTTGTTGTCATGCCACACTCGGACTTTGGAGAGCTCCCCCAGACTGAGCATGTCAGGAAACCGAAAGACGTCCTTCATCTTCCGCTCAAACTTGTTCCTGTTGGTGCTCTCCTTCAGCGGCAGCATCCCGGTGTCGCCGTACTCCCCAAACACAATCAAAAACACGTTGGCGTCGGTGCCGCCGCCTGAAACGTTGCACCAAATGTTCAAAAACGAGACAGAAAAACATGAAATTTACTTAAAAAAGTAAAGAGCGATACTGTCTAAAACTCATGTGCCGTGCCTCCGACGTCGCTGGTCTGAACTTGGATGATGTAGGTTGTTTTTTCCACCATCTCCTCGTCGTCCACCACTGCCGGCAGCTCACACACTTTTGTCCTTTTCGGCCCTTTAGTGTTGGACAGCCAGTTCTCATAAGTGAACAGATACTCTTCCTCGGTGGTCAGGTTCCGCATGAGGATCTAAAAGTGAGCATGGAGTGATTAAATTAATTATTAACATTAAAAGAACATCAGTACGGCAGGACTGGATGTGAAGAAATGTCCCCAGCTGCTAAGGTGGCATTTTTAGAAAAAATGTTTGTTCCAAATGTCTTCTGTTTTTGATATTTTTTTTCAATCTGAATTGTTTTACATCATATAAAACAAAATGAATAAAAAAAATGCTGTTTTCAAATAATATCAATCATTTTCCCCTTTTTAACTAATTTAACCAAATTTTTAAATAACTAATTGACCTGTACATCCACTAAAACACCTAAACAGGGCTTGTCTGACAACATGAAGTAGGCAAAAAAGTCAAAAAGCAACACATCAGGCTCTGATGTGAAGAAATTCAGATATTTGATTCATTACCACTTATTGAGAACTTAAAGGGGAATATTATATAAAATATTTTGAGTTTACATGATGTTATATTGTTACTGATTATGGGCTGAAGGCAGAGTGTCGGAAAGAGGAAGACTTCTTAAAGAGACAGAGGCCCAATTACAAGTCAAATTTCCTTTAAGTTTTGCTTGATCAAGTAACACAGTTATTTGATTGTGCTATAAAATGGCACTATGTGCCTGAAAACTACATAATACTGCTCCTTTAATATTAAAAGTTGTGTAAATGATTAATTTCACAGAAAAAATATGCTTAAATAATGATATCAAACATTTTGAATGACAGATAAAACCAACTTTATGACCCTATAATTGCTTTTCTACCGCTGATAAAGTATTTTGGTGATATTTAGCATAATGTAATGTTTGCAGTTTTAGACATTAATGGTTTTCATGTTACCCTGTCCAGAAACCAGTCTGGGCGGCTCCCAGTGCCATCGATCCGAACTCTGATCTTCTTCAGAGGAGCGATGTCATCTATCTCCAGGGTGAACGTGTCTTCTTGGTCACGTTCAAACCTGCACGAAACAACGAATAAACAAACCAAGCATCTCAGAATCAGAGCGGGTAAAGATTAGAACAGGATTAAATCACAAAATTCAGAATGATACTTTATGGGAAAGAGAAATCATTTTTTGCCAAGAATATTGGGTGGAGATTTGTTGCAAATAAAAGATTTTTCTCAGATATTTCACAGATGAAAAATTACATCTCTTCAGCCTGGATGAAGAACTAATCAGGGGGCTTTTTTTAATCAGGAGGACACTTTCCCTAGAGAGTGGGGTTTACTATTAGAGGATCGCTGCTGGACTGACCTATCCCCGTTCTTCGGCAGCAACATTTCCTCTGTGCTCCCGTTGGCCCCGTACACAGTCAGGAAAATGTTCGTATCCGTCCCTGCATACTGAGTGTCTCCTGTGACAACCGAGACTGAATAAATAACCTGCAAAAATGCAGAGAACAACAGGCATAAATGAGAGGAACTCTGCTTTCTAACAGCTCATATTTTCAGTGCGATGACTCACTTTGCGGATAATGTTGATGGTGCTGGAGTCCAGCACGTTCAACAGTCTGACAGTCAAACCGTCTCCCCTGTCTTTAGCCAGCCAGCATTTACATGGGAAGATGTACTTGATACCTTTGGTTGGCACAGCAACCGACAGCTCATCCACCAGCCAGCAGCTCTCTGGTGTAACTCCGTTATGGCCGAGCTGAGCGGCAGCAAGAGACGAGACAGAGAGAGGAGACAGAGAGAGCTGGGAATTCAGAAACCATTTGATTCTGTTTGATCCACATTCCATGCACTGCAGCCACAGTTAATAATTCCTGCACTAGAAAGTCGTTATGTGAAATCTTCGACACTGAGGAGGCAGCAGCAGCAGCAGCAGCAGCAGCAGACAGGCAGCTTCACAGATTTAGCTACAGACAGTCCCAGATTCTCACTTCCACCCTCTTGATCTCTCCTACGTCAGCTCCGTAGCACACGAAGTGCTCCATGCCACCAGCCGCGAAGCATTTCTTCCCTTCTGCCAGGTCCAGCCACAGACGGTCTGTCTCGGCGTCGTTCGGCCCGATGACGATGACATAAACCCTGGCTGTGGTGCTGCCGTCCCGGTCCTCTCCAGTGGACACCGTGAAGTGATAAGGGATGACTGCATGAGGGACAAGATCAGATTCAAATTTAACTACTCAAACAAGAAAAGTGACGCTTTAGAAAATCTGCTTCTTAATTGAAATGAGATTAGATTATTGTGTCACTTGAGAGTTAGTTGTAACCATTTTGTCTGTGTAATATAATCGATTTGTTGGCTGTTTAGCCCAGTATATTAAACAGGCACATGGTCTTAATTACACATTTTGGGCGATTATTATGTCAGTAGGTAGCATATTTCATTAAATTGAGATAATGGGTCGGATTAAATAAGTGTTCACTTCTTCCTGCTCCTTTTCAAACAGAAAAATAGTGGCAAACAAATTATTTTCTTCTTAGTTATGTATGCACATGTTTGATTGTTTGTTCTCGTGTCTTTAAAAAACCTTTTTGAAATAAATAAAAACTATAACTATAACTATCTTCTAATTTTACCTTTTATCAATTAATAGGGCTGAAACTAATGATTATTTCAGTAATAAACTATTCTATTGACTTTTCTGAAAGTTCATCGGATAAAAAAAAAAGTCACATTCTGCAGATTTTACATTTTTAGAAATCATTAGAAAATTTGAAATATTTAAAAGATCCAAATAAGTAAATAATTTAGTTTTTTAAAAATAATTACAAATGTTATTGCCTGAAACGCAAAACTCAAGATTTATTTAGTGAACACTTGGTCATTTGTAGCAAAAGATGCATCTGCTGCTAAAATTAATTTCTACTAATCTATTGATTATTTTTTAGATTAATAAATGGGAAGCAAAAGGTGCTCAGTCAGAGATTTTTTAGTTTCATTTTTTTTTTTTACATAATTTGAACTAGGTGAAACTAAAACTGCCACTAGAGTTGTGGGAATAAACTCCTCTAAAACATTTGACCTAGTTTATAAAGACAAACTGCCAAAAAGTAAAGGAATGTATTTAAATATCTGATGATAAAGAAAATAATCGATCTCAAAGAGTGAGCCACCCAGAAAATCCCAGGAGCAGAAAATTAGATTAGATTAGATTAGATTAGCCTCTATCTGATACCAAACCAGCATTCAGTTTGCAGCCAGCTGCTGTAATCATCACAAAGATATTATAATTTTATAATATAATTTTATCTGAAGTTCAGCATCCTCAGTAATCCCTTTTTCATTAGTTTATAAATGCTACCATCTGCTCTCGTTTTCTTCTCCTCAGATGTTTTTCTCGTTTCTCAAAGGAATCCCAGAATGTTTTCAGATCCTCCACAGCAAAGTTTTATCTACCTTCTTCATCGTCAACATGCATTTCTCAGCTTTATTAAAGAGGAATTTAGATTTTTATTTATCTCATCTTTATTTATGCAGGTTGTCTCGTTGAGAGAACAGCTTAGATGAAAAACAAAGTTACAAACGCAGCAGCAAAACAAGAAGTTACGAAATCTTGGCTCAGTTAAATAATATTGATGCTGTGGGACATTTTTTTCTGTGAACTTGAACAAACAGGAGGTTTAATGGCTGTTTTCTATGTTGACATCAGAGATTTTTAAAGGGTTGCTTACTTGGACCTTCTTCGGCCACTGTAGCCTTTTTCTTCTTTTTCTTCTTATTGGCGTTTTTATCGAGTCCTTGTTTGGACTGGGCCATCTTCATAAAATATGGATCTGTATTCCTTTCACCTTCATACCCCTGTAATGGACCCACAGAACAGATTTTAGTAATACAAAACAAAACAGAACACTGCAAGAATAACAAAATAGAAAAAAATATTGCCACGCTTCTTTCACTTTTGGCAGGCATTGCAGTGGAAAACATAATCTCATCATCTAGAGTTTGAAAATGTGGATATGTGAATGACATCTGCTGGTTTGAACTGAGGTCAGAATCGGATGTTTCAAGAGAAAAATGGACCAAATGGGAACCAGATCCACAATTAACAGAAAAGATCCAGAACAGAAAATAAAGCGGAATAAAAATCTACGTTAGACTGGAGAATTTTCATGGTAACCTAGCTGAGTAATTTATTAAATAATGTACTAAGAACATCCAGTTCAGCACATGGGAACAGAATGGTTTGTTTGTTAAAAGTGTCAGAAGGACAAAAAAACCTATTCAGGTAGTTAGGAAAAGTATTGATGCAAGAAAAAAGAGAAAAGAACTAAAAATGTTATTTCAAAGCTAATTTAAACTATGTTAACCGGTGATTATTTTAATGATTCTTTGAACAAAACCAGCGGCTGTGAAAAAACATTGAGATTAAAACATTTTACGACACAAAAACGGCTTAAAAGATTCAGACAGACATCCAAGTTATGAATAAATTTGTACTTGGCACACGTAGTTCTTAGATCCTTCACCTTATGATACATTGTAAAGCAAAAACGATTAAAAACATGGAGGAGTGTTTACTTTTAGATTTTAAACAGGACATCCCCTTCTAGTCCCTTTATCTTCTAAAGATTTGGGGGATGAGGTGAAGAAATGGACTCTGTTTACGTCTACCTGCATATTTATCTGCTTTATCAAATGTACTGTAAAGGACGAAGAGCGGAGATAAACTTCAGTCAGTACTGATCTAAAGTTTTCTATGTTTTAAGTCTCTGAGAGCACATAAGTTGTTTATGTGACCCTTTTCTGTACCAGGGATAGAAAAGCTGGGATGTCTTGTCCTCATTAATCATTAGGATAATTAAAGGATTAACTTCTTTCTTTCCTGAACTGCTGTCATGTTTCTTCTTTGGTGGTTCAGCAACCGTCTTCAATCTGTTTCGTCTGCATTCCTCGTCTGCAAAACTGAAAATAATCCACTGACTCAAACAGACCTTGACGTAGAAGATCCTGTCTATCCGTTTGTCCTCTTTCTTTGTCGACAGCCAGCGCTCACACACGAACATGTAAACTTCCTCCGTGTCCTCATCCTGCACCTCCACCTGGTCCAGGTACCAATCGGCTCCCACCATCGTGTTGTCATGACGAATCCGAATCTTAAACACCTGACCCAGGTCCACAGCCTCAATTGTAAACCTGTCCACCTGCAGAACGAGGGATGGAGTTTAACGTCTCCACGCACCAACATTATTAGACATTGAACTTTAGAAATACCTCTCCTCTCTCGAACTTGTTCTTGTTGTTCTCAGATTTGGCGAGTTTGCGTTCCCCGGTGTCTCCCAGGTCTCCGTAGATGGTGAGAAAAACGTTGGCGTCAGTTCCCGCTCCGTACATGTCACCTGTCCGCACCGACACCTTGTATCCGTGAGCTGTGAAGGAGAAGAGTCCAAACTGTGAATACAGCGGACTTTACGCTCTTTTACACTCAGGTACACAACTACAAAAAATAAAAAATAAAATATAGTTATATGCATCACATTTCTTTACACAAACTGCGGTTTAGGTCATAAAAGTTTTCAGCTTCTAATGAGCAATGACATTTTAAAAACAAGAATATGTTTACAATTTTTATATTATTTATTGTCAATTATGCTTATGGTCTCAAAATATGACAAAATAATAAACTTCCAAGTGATACTAATAATTGGTGGGGCTTTATTTTGTATTATCTGTGTGGTATGAGTTTTTTTGTTTTTGAACAAAATAAATGAAATAATGAAGATAAAGGACTATTTCCAAAATGTTTAACAAAAGAGAAACGGTTGAGTTGAGTGTTTCAACACACAGGAGAACTTATCTTAAAATTTATGCTTTATGCTAAGAAGTCAGGTCAATGCCAGGAAACTAATCTATTCAAATTAACTGAGATATTTCTCACATTAAGAGTGGTCAGAAACAAACAGAAATATAAAAGAACGTTATTGATGGCGGCAAAATGTATCTGGTTTCCCTCCAACTTATACTTTAATTCAAATATTAGTGCATTTGTTTGTTACATCCAATCCAACTTCAATTAAATGTCAGAAATAATTCATTATATTAACTTTTAAAATCAAGCAGATTCTTTATTTCTGCACCTTTCTAAGCATTTTCATATTTGTCTTATAGCAAGTTACTGTTTATTAATGAGAGAATATAATACAACCTCAACTACTGGAAATATGGTTTCTGCATTTCGGGAAAATTTGTTGTTTTTTTGATGCTAGGAGTAACAGCGTTAATGGATTAGTTCAGGGAAACGATTGTCAGACGTTCACTTCCAGCAGAGTTTCTCTGAGAAGCAACTCACTCTTGGTTTCTGATCGCCTTTACATTTTGCAACTAGTCACTGACTTTGAATGGTGATTCAAGTTGAGCAGAATTGGGTTTCAGGGGGTTTCCCAATGAAAACAACTGCCAAGAGTTAACATTTCGAAACAGCTGCAGGCTGGAAAAACAAAAAACAAAGAGCGGAAACTCAATATGCAGGGCAAAGTGGAGCTGCAGATTACAACTCTGCAACAGGCCTGGCAAACTTTTCACTGCTCCTGTAGGAAACTCCTCCTTCCTTTTTTAAAACCTGCAAATCTTAATAGAATTTTGCATTAAAAGGATCATTATTGTCCAAATGAAGCAAAGTTTACACTTTCAATTGACTTTTAATGCAACTTTTAGTGCAACTTTGGATTATTAGTATCATTATTTACTGAATGACACTTCATGACAAGAGTTGTAAACATTCATGAAGACTCCTGCACATTCACAACGTGTGTTTCGTCATGTTTGTGTCATGTCAGTCTTATACACACCCCTTCAAATAAAATGTTACCAAATTTTTTTATTCTGTCAGAATACTGAATTTTCCCCAAACTCCATCGGGAGGAAACCTGACTGGCAGAAACAGAGCAAAGTAAAAAATATACAACTTGTCAATACCATTTTGAAACTCATCAGAAGCTCATACGTTGATTTATCACCAAGTCCGAACAGCTACACCTACCTTAACATTTTATTTTTGACCATTTTGAGCCAACTTTGTGCATGCAGTGTGTGCTTTTAAAATGCATTCACTTGTAAATGTAACAACATGATAAGCAAAAGTAAAATAATTTGCACTTCTTCATCTAAATCAGAGTAAAACTTACTCTCCAGAGCATCCTCCACCTCCATTTCGGTCGTCTTTAGTGTCCCGTCCCGGAGGAGCTTCTGGGTGATGATGTCAGAGGCGACCAGCTCCCTCACCGTCTCTCCATCATCTTCAGACTTGGCCAGCCAGCGTTCGCATGGAAATATCGTGGTCTCTGAACCCTGACGTGAACCACAGACAAATGAGCCATGCTAGGTTGGTTGAAATGTTATATTACTAAACTGTTCATAATTTATTTAGTCTTCCGAGAAAGTGGTGTAGTCTGGAGTGCATATTGGATACCTTTCCTTTGCGGAGCTGTCGCCTGATCTCCACCCTGTCAAGATGCCACCCTGGGTTGGTGCCTCTGTTGTCATGTCCTATCCTGATTTTCTCTATCACATCACCGATGTCCTCCAGCTGAGGCGAGAACATCCGATTGTTTACAAACCAACAGCACGGCGTAAGAAGCCTTCTTTATTCTAAAACACACTTCCTCACCTCCACAATAAACATGTCCTCTGCTCCTCTCTCAAAGTAAAGCCGTCGCTCTCTCTTGTTTACACACAGGTGCTTCTGCAGTGTGCACATCCCGTTTTGTCCGTACAGGACGATGAACACGTCAGCGTCTGTCCCCGCAGCAAACACATCACTGGTGAATATTTTGATCTCATAAGGCACGACTGAAAAACAAGAAACCAGGAGATTTGCTTAGTTTTGTGACCTGCGATATGAAATTTGACTGTTATTTTTATTATTTTTATGTCTTGAAAGTGCCATAAAAAGTTGGAGTTAAAGCAAACCACTGATGAAACTTTAAACACTTCTGCAGATTTTACTGTGTTTTCCTATTTTGCAAAGTTTAACATCTTTGGTTCCTAAAAAGCACATTTCCATAAATACCATTCCCACTAATGTTTTTATTAGCATCTATTTGCTTACATGGAGTGTAAACTTCAGTCTGTAAGTCAGCGGGATAGAGATCCCTCACGATGGCACCGTCATCCTCTCCTGGATCCAACCAGCGGCCACATGGGAAACGTAGTCTCTGTCCCTGAGACGGGGCGTCCACCTCAACCCAGTCCAGGAACCAACCGGATGAACCTCCTATTGGGATCAAAAGCATCAGACATTTTGATATAATTTAAACTCATTTTATTTCTGTTTTTTTAAAAAAAGTTTTCTTCTTCACCCGCCTGAGTTGTCGTGTCCAATCCGGAGCTTCTCCAGGTCGCCCAGGTCCACTGCCTCCACGATGAACTCGTTGATCATCCCCTGTTCAAACTTGTTCTTGTAGTTTTTACAAGACTTCAGGTTGATGAGCCCTGAATCAACAGGAGTTTCACATCCCAGTTATAACCTTTGGGCAGGATCTTTGTGTCGCCACGGCAACGCCGGGGCTCACCTGTGTCGTCTTTTTCACCGAACAGGATGGCAAAAACGTTGGCGTCGGTTCCAGCATATTTCTTTTCCCCAGTTTTTATTTTGAGAGTGTAGGTGGTGGACATGGCTGCAATGACAGTAATAGAGGTTGACATCATATCGCACTGAATCACACATTATGTTTATAATTTGCTTCAGTCGTTTAAGGCACTTTACATTTCTGCTCCAGTCCCAAAGTGGCGCTAGTTCCCTCCTCATCTTCATCCTGCCTCATGAAGGCCTCATCAACAGGAACTAGCTCTCTTGCTATCTGCCCGTCATCCTCATCCACTGCGAGCCAGCGGTTACAAGGGAAGTAATACCTACAGACACCCCAGAAAGAAACTAATCAGAGCTTTTCTTCTGCACAAAACTGTTAATTTTTGCAGGTGTACAGCTATATTTAGTCAGAAAACAGAGAAAAATGCATTGAAACAGAAGTTACCCTTACGTTACATCTTCCTTTGTGTCCACTATCTCAACACGATCCAGGTACCAGGATGAGTGAGGCTTAGTGTTGTCATGTCGGATTCGCAACTTCTTCAAGGTGAGCAAATCAATAGCTGTCACGATGAAAACGTCTTCCTGCAAAATTACAGGAGAGACGCTGTCCGGTTCAGTTAGACTTTTAGGTAATGCCACTCCCAGTTTGTGAGAAATCTCTCCAGAGAAAGTATTTGTTTTATCCACCCAGCCTTTGTCCTGGGTCTAGAGGGAAAAGCCAAGCATGTTTTGCACAGTTCCAGTTGTTAGATGACATAATATGGCTCCTTTTACAGATTACAATATGTTAATTACATTTTTTCGCACAAAATCATTCTTAGATAATAAGATTTTAGTCAGGCCTTGATTTGTGGAGTTAGAAATAAACTGAACTGAGTGTGTTTGTCACCAGTTGTAACGTAGAAATGAATAATTCACAGGAGTGGATGAAGTGGGGAGTAAAAGTAGGACAGGTTCAATGACATGGCGGACTCCTCAGAGCTCCTCTCAGTCACAGCTGGCCTCCCTGCAGGAGATCCTGTAATTGTAGCAGAATACACTCCTACCCACACCTCTGAGCAAGGCTCAAGTTGCCCAGAGGTCATCGGGTTTTTCAACAAGAACTGTTGATTTTAAGCACCGGTTCTTATATCGATTATAAAAACTGGTGCAGCCCTGATGAAAATTGATGGGATTAGTGATTCTGAATTGTCAAGAGGTGTAAAATGAGTAATTACTTCTAGGAACCACATTGAGCTCATGTGCCAAATAGTATTTTTTTAAAGGTCTACAATTATATTTTACAGAAAGAAAACCTACAAATCTTGAAAATAGGAAAGATAAGTAAATCACAATCTACCTCTTTCGGTTATTTTAAAACAAGATTTTCTGAAACAAGAGTAAACTTTTGAGTCAGATCCACTCAAACAGATAAGCATTGAGGAAGCTCACACGCCTGCAATGGCACCGTATGAAAATCTGATGATAAACAATAAACGGACTGTTTTTTTTGTTGTTTTTTTTCCTTTGAAAAAATTTGATTTTGGATGGAAATATGCTGGATGGATCTGTGGCTGCTTATTGGTGCTACAGTAAAAGTTTCTACGGCAAACATGAGTGAGCTCTGAAGAACTAAACAGATAAATACGAATGATTTCTCCTGTCAGAAATAAGTTTTGCAACAGTAGCATGAAACAATTTGAAACCTAGACGTAACCTAAGTGTCACATTAGTCTTCCCACACAGACAAAACAACACAGTTAACCACAGGTGTCTGTGGCCATAAAGCCATAAAAGTGGCTCTTTAGGCTGTAAAGGTTGCAGACTCCTGGTCTTTCCCAAATGAAAGGAGGGAACATTTGACTGCAGCTGCTGTCTGAGAAGTTTAACTTCCCCTCTCTCTACCATATGTGCAGGAGTAGCTTGAGAAAACTTTTCAAGGTCAAACATTGGGTTGCGAGTAAATTATGGAGAGTTTTAGGTATTGATGGACTGTTTATTTGGGTAACAGTGAGTCTCGCACTCATCAATATAACATGGCTGTTCTGGTATCAAAACTGTTGGTGTGAATCTGGTACCGTTCAGAACCAGAACAGAAATTACGTCACTCTAAATGTTTTCAGAATTTCTTTTTTGGTTTGAGTTTCAGCTCAAGTACTTTTATTTCCCTCCACAGGGTGTAGGTTTGTTATGTCTCCAAGCTGCTGCTCCAACACAACATTCTGGTCTGACTGGATAAATCATGATATACAGCTCTGGAAAAAATTAAGAGACCACTGAACCCCACTGAATACTGGTTACTCCACCAAATATTTATTTCTGAACTCTTCCTGACTTATAACAGTAGTATTGTTGCTTCTAAATGAACATGAACTAGTTTTCTTTG